AAGAATGGAAAATTACTATGCATGAAATACAGTGGGAAGGAATAAGAAAAGGGAGGAAGGAGTTTTCTATTTTTTCCTACAGTTAATTGTTTTAGATGCCATTTTTACTCTTGCTCTCCCTTCCTCTTTGCCCTCCCCAGCTAAGGAAGGGCTGTTTGGACACCATCAATAGGAAACATAACAGACATTGGGCAGATAATCACCCTGTCAGAGCTCCACCACAAACACTCTCCTCTTTCCCTCCAGTTCCCTCTCAGAATAATACATATGAGCAAACACGTATACTTACTTAAAATTAGTTACAACTTGATGTAAATCATATCCAGATTGCAGTTTCTAAGATCAGAGGCAGGAATGAAATTACTTATGCCAAGACTCAAATAGTTCACAACTTATGTCCCCATATAAGGAACACTATTTTCAGATGGCACACTCCAGGCTTCATTCGAAGCAGATACATTCATGCTTAGTTTTTAATAAAGAATGAGCCATTCCAAGCCATACCTGACTCAGCAGCACTTCTAAAAGCGCTCACACAATACTGTCGTAAGAAAGAGTGAAAGGCATTTTCTGTTTTCATTTTTACATTATTTCATGAGCATACAAAGGACAATATGTGATGACAACTAAAGAGTTATTCTCTACTTTATTGCAGGAACACATTTTAAAATTAAAAACCACGAACAAATCTACAGAATAATTCAGTTTTCATATCAAACAGCTGCAGACCCTGTAACTGAAATAGTGTGTCTAAGGTTATAAATGAAAACTGTTCAGTATCATTCTTTGAGTGACAGATTAAATTCCTAATCCAGTTATGGTAATGGCCACATGTGTAGTTTAACATAAATTAAGAGCTTAATTATATTTGTGACTATTTTAAACAAAATAACAAATTCCTTTGTACCTGTGAACGTAATTTATAGCGAAGCCACGTTCGTTCTCCAAAACAATCTATTTTACACTGCAGTACAACACTGCTTTAATGGTATAATGTAATTCTTGTTGTAGAATGCAGAAAGAGTAGATTCACTGGTAGCACAGAGGTTTTGAAGATAAATGAAGATGCTATTCATTCAGGGGTAATTTCATCTTAGAACTATATGAAAGATGTTTCACTCACAAACAGTACCTGTATGGCTTGGGATTTAAGCATGTTTTCAGCTGCAGTGCAATGCTGCTAGATTGATTATGTTGATACTGCATTTCTCATCATGAAGAATTCCAGCTTTTATTCTCTTTTAAAAAAAGAGATCATCAGATTTTCATTTCAGTACTAAGCCTTTGTTCAAGCCCCAGCAACAAGTTCAAATTTCTGCTAATGTTTTGTCTAGAGAAAAAAACAAACCACAATTCATATACACACCAAAAAAAAAAAAAATCATAAATCTGTTGAGGGCAATTAATCATGTGTGATTTACATATTTATTTAATTACTTGTTGAAGTAAATAAGCAGTTGGTCTGTGTAACGCAATTTTAAATTGTCCAAACATCCTTCTGTCATTCAGGACTAAGGACAGACAATTCTAACTGCACTTTCCTGGAATATATTAAGGCCGTTTACAAGGACATCAATTGCACCAGCAATTAATACATATCTTAACATAATGAGCTACAGGCTTTATAACCTCAGGACAGCGATGAGAACTTCACAGTCCTGAACATTTTAGACAGCCTTTTAAGCAAGACTCTGAGACTACCTGTATAAAGATTTCAGAAGAACCTGTAATAACAGAGACAGTCTCAACATCCACATTCCTCCTCCTGACAAGTTGGAACAGTGCACAGAGACGCTCCATTTGAGGTAAAAGGCTTGGCACAGCACAGCTGTATTAACCCACTCCCTCCTACTCAGCCATAGCACTTCCACCTAGGCACTAAACTTACCTGCACCAGGCACTAATAGCCTAGACAGGCTCTCTGCTTCCATTTTTCTCTTCTGGAAGTCATGGAGTTGTTTTGTTATTGGAATATAGTTGTATATTCATTTCTGGGATTTGGTGGCTTTTCTACTATGGTAAGACTGATAAGCAAGAATGCTGTATAATGGAAGCTGTACAATAAATAAGCAGAGAATGGTTTTAACCATGAGTCACTTTACCTAGGAGGTATATGTGTTTTCATTAACTTTAATGGGAAAAGGGCTGAACATGTCACAAGAACAGAGCCTTCATTCTGCGTAATGTTCTCTTTCCTGTAGCTGGATCATCGTTACTGATTGGTATTTTATTTTACTTCATTTGCAGTGAAAATAAAACTTCATTCAGTATTGAGATTTTACAGCCTAAGATCAAATGGGCCTCACTTTCAACAGGACTGTATAATACACTACTTCAAGTTAACAGACAAGGAGTACAAACACCAAGAAGTACCAGAGATAATGCACTAGCTCATTTGAAGTTATGCTGCATTTTTAACGAATGTAAAGAATCTGAACCAGTAAGAGAGAAAGGAATTGTTAATTTATTTATTTCTCAATAACAATGGGCAGAAAAGGAATTAAAAACCAACAAGAATCAGCAGAGACATTCCACAAGATGAGAGGGAATTTCTTTTTTTATTTGCTGTCTGTTTGGCAGGTTTTAACTACTGAGGCACTACCACAGTTACTCAGCAATTCTCAGAAGACTCTGCCCTCTCCTCTCTTACCTGACATGTAGCTATAGTCAAGAGTCCGGATTTCACTGCACAATGAGAAGTCGTAAGTCAAATGATTATTAAAACAGCAAGTCTCAACTAACTTCCTGTGTTGCAGCTCTCACTACTTGTTAATTCAAACATAATGCCTACAACTGTTACACCTACACTGAGAGTTAACTTGCTCTGCTGTCTGCTTGATCTGCTCTGTTGACAAGATGTACATGAAATGCAATCTGTATTGCAGAGTCATCAGTTTTAAAATAGTCAAATTTTACTCTAATTACTTAGTATGGCATTGGATTTTATTCTTTATTTTATATGTAGCTATCTGCATATATCTCCTGTGAGATCTATTGAAGAGCAGTATTATGAATAGGTGCTCCAATGAGATTTTGAGAAAGATCTGAAAGACCAGCTGCAGCACATTCACAGTCTTCTTGCAAACTGTGTTTCTTAAAGATTTGATGGTGGCTGACTCCACATGCATCAGGATTTAGAGTCCCAGTCCCTCTGATCAAAAGAGCATTTTCACCACATGGAAGTTCAACAAGTGATGAACAAGATATGTTCCTGCTCTGGTAATATTCATGCACCCCAAACTAGTACCACGGAGGCGGGGGGGAAGGAAGCAAACAAAAAACAAAACCAGTAAAAAGATAAACAGGCTCTCATCAGAATAAAAAGTAAATTCTAAAGGAACTCAGCAATTTCCTTATGCAAAACACACCAGTATATTTAAAGGTTTATGATCACTAAGCTAGTAATACATAACTACAGATCTACAGATTCTAGTACCATTTCAAAATGGATCAAAAACACCAGGGATAGCTATTCTTTCGCAGTCACAACCACGTTATGTAGATTCTTCAAAATAGATATGATTCCCCAATACAAAATTGTTCTATAAAGTTTAAGATCAGATATCTACCAGAGCCATATTTATAGCCATGGCTACTATCAGCTGTCCAGCTAGAGAATATTGAAGAAAAAGAAGCATTTTTAATATGTTATAGTTAATTTATCATCTAAGTGACGTGTAGGATAACAATGGACTGGAAACAGTAAAGCAAAATGATGCATTAGAAAAGGAAATTTTAGAATTATGTTGTTTCTTTTCTGTGTGTTTTAAATATAAACCACACCTATATGTATTGTTAGATGGTAAGAAAATTCATGAGAATCACAAAAAACATAGTTGATGGAGTAAAAAGGAACACTGAGATCAAGTGAGCAACAAAAACATTTATTTGCATTACTGTGAGGCACAACATAAAACACACTGCCCAAATAAACAAACATTGCCCATTTATTTGGTGTGTCAAAGATGATTCCTGTTTTCAGCAAAGGACAAAGGGGTCTTTTGCTGTGACAGTTTACTCTTAGCTGTATCTCCTAGATTGCTAGCTTGAAGGAAGAAAGTTTGGGATCCTGGAAGTAGTTACCATGATCAGATGATTCTAACCTTTTTACCAGTAATGTCAGTTACAGCCTCCAAGTGTCCCACTTTGGCTAAATGAGATATGACCTTTCTGGACAGCCATCAAAGACTGCTTGCTCTAGGTACTCTGAGCCAGACCACACACAAAAAGCAAGAAGCAGGGGAACAGATCAACTCCCTACTACACACATCAGCAGCAAAGCTGCTTTGAAGAACAGAAACCTTACAGACATCCTGCTCACCACCACTTCTGACAGACAGGCCCTCTCTACTAATGGGGAAAACATTCCCTCGAGACTTGGGGTTACTGAACCTAACAGGTTAATGGAGTTTATGAGGACTTCACAGCCACAGCGGTGCTTTTAAGTCAATTCAAGATGCAACTTCGTCAATTATATGGACTATTTCTAAAAACCACACTGGATCTCAACTCTGTATGCAAGATGAAATGGAGCAAAACCTATTAGAGACATACAGAGATTTGATGCCCACAGCATGAAACAAACATGCCTCAAGTCTGGGGCAGTGTGAGCTTTGAGAATTAATAATTTCTGGTTATTATACTATTACATTATACTATTAATAACTATAAGCATCATGCAAGATGTTACAAGACAAATTAGCATACCAGGTGACAAAAGATAGAAACCATGTAGACAGACACTGTACAAACACAGACCACAATAAATATGAGTACAAGCAGCAGCACCCAACACAGGTCTTTCAAAATCCACATGTCCTTTAAGCTCTCGCACTTCAATGACAACATAAAGCACGTCAGATGCAAGAAATAAGTCATTGATTTTGACAAAAATAATGCTTATATTATTCATTTAGCTAAATACAGTTACTTTAGCTAGATAATCATTAAAAAAAAAAAATGGAATTAACATCTTTAGTTTAGAAAAGATGACCTTTTACCTGAACAGCAAGGGAAGATGCATTATCAGAAAGCAAAATTTGTTCCTCTGTTGAAAGAAAAACAAGTGAAAAAAAAAAAATTACAAACAACACTACCCATTTAGCCATTGACCTGTAACCATAAGCCATTCTGGGTTGCATTTCTTATGCATAAGACAAGGAGCACTTATATAATTATTATGCAGCTGGACTAGAAAACCTGTGATGTGAATATTAAAAAAAGAAAGAAGAAAAGAAAAAAAAGGAACACCAGAACACCAGGAGTATTTCTGCCGCAAATGCAACTGCACTTATCATACATTACCTCAATGTACAGTAAAAAAATGCTCACAACTAAAAACCAAATGCTTGAGTTTTATGCCAATTACTCTTCTTCTAATCAAAGTTAAATAAAACTGCATCTTCATAACTCCTCTGGCTAAAAAGTAAAAGTATTCAGAAACCTATAAAAGCGCCTTGCAGTTAATATCGCACACTGTGTCTAGGTCTGTCACACAAAAGAAAGATGACAAGTTCACTGCAATAAAAATTCCATGCTTAGAAGACTAGGGCTGCTACCTATTAGTCTTCATTACTTTGCAGTCTTCTGACAACTGTAGCAGGCTGCTGAGCCCCAAATGGGGGCCATAATGTGATCTGATGATATATGAAGAGCTGCTAAAGGGAGCCTGAACCATCCTAGCCTATACATTTTAACAGTTCCTTTTTACTGAGAGCCCACTTTACCACAAGACTTCAAAAATCTGCTGCCTCAGCTATTGGTGCAGTAAATCTGCCAACTGTGCCTGCAACCACATCATTTTACACTGCCTACAGCAGCCAATATAATGAGTCAATAATAAACCAAGGACCTTATAGGCCATGAATAGCTGGTTTATATTGGCAGATGCAAGCATAGCTAAAACCCCTGACCAGACAAACAACACAAAGGACTCTTTTACAGTTTCTGTGCTCCCTCTCAGTTAATTATCTTAGTGCATATTTAATGTGTTTTCTAAAAATAAAATATTTATTAATTGCAAAAGAACAGTGTACCCACCCTTCAGTTGCTGATACAATGCAGCATTTTCAGGCCAAGGCTCTGCAGCTGTGGAAAGAGGAGGAATTAATTAAGCAAGACAAACAACATGTTTGCAGATGCTAACTGAACATGAGCAGGAACTGAACCTAGAGCAGGAACTCAAACTGCAAAGATGCTGATGCAAGATTTTACCTGCCCTAAAAACATCCCACTGTCACTCTCTTCTCCCATACTTCTCTCCTGCTCACAGAGGGAGCAGAAAAACAAGTCCCAGAATTTAACATTGCAAGAAAAGCTAGAATTCAAGCTACATTACAGAATGCTCTTGTAGTTCTCAAGCAGCTATTTTACCTCCACCATAAAGACATCCTTGTGTATATTCCCATCGCAATTCTGGCCACTCTTAAGAGCAACTATTTATTAAGGTACTAAACAAAGAATTCTGGAAAGAATAGAACAAGACACAGAGGAGAGAAGCACAAACCCCTAAGCCAAGTGTGAAGAATGCTTTGGGGAAATGGAGAAGCTTTCTGCCTTTTAAAGTTGTGTCCTCACTTGTCCTATATAATACCCACCAAGCCAGGTGCTCGGGCATGTCAGAAACTTACTCGCCATAACAATTGGGACTACCTATTGCTTTAAATGATGTACTAGTCAACCCTAAAATGGGAATGTCGATATGCATTTAAAAAAAATGCATCATCAGTTGTTCAAAACAGTTGAGCAGTTGTTAAAAAAAAAAAAAAGGCATGGAAATTAAAGACAATAACATCTTCCAGTTGAGAACCATTGCACTTAATCAATCATACCCCACTTGAATTTATGGGAAGGTAAAAATATAATCAGTACTGATTTACTGCTAATGGTAGCATTAAGATAACACATCATTACACTGTTTTGTCTCCATTACATTCCTTGTTAATGTCTGATTAACAATTTATTTTTAAATACCAATTCAAATCTTGTGTTCTATGCAAACTAGCTATTTGTAAACAAAATTGATGCATTAATCACATAAATGGTTCTTTTTAAAGAAATACTGTCTATAAATAACTGTAGTTCAAATAGAAATACACCACTGGCTTCAGGAAGGTCATGCTTTGTGTCTTTGCCCTCAGAACTCAAAGAAAAAAAATGCACAATTTCCTCATTCTTTCTGGATATTCATGAAGTATTAGGTTTTATGTAAGTCACATAAAACTGTAAAGCTTGTAACACTGTACACAGTTTTGCAAAGGTCACTGCCTCTAACATTCAGGCACAAAGCGTATCAAAGCTAAACTAGTATGGGCATGAGAAAGCAACTAATCACATTTAAGTGTCATCAAAAAATGTTTTATGTTTTATTGTAGCAGTTATTGGTTTTAATGGTTAATGGTTTCTCCATTAAAGTTTTGCCCTGGAGTAAAAATTCTTCAGGTGGAAGTACATTTACTTCTTTAAATAAAAAGAGACTAAGATAGTGTCTGCAGTACTACAGCCTTAACTGTTTAAAATATTTTATCTAACATACAATTCTTCAGGACCACTGAAGTCTTGCAAGAGCAAACAGAATGAGGAAATTAAGAATGTTATTACTATAGCACAGTGCTGGACTCTCAGATACTTACAGAAGTAACTAAGTCATGAACATACATCGATCTCATACATACTCCAGCCAACCAGTGAAAACATCAGTTTTACATGCCAAAAATGGTACAGAGAACTTCAAATCGCATGTGCCCATTTCTACTGATTTTTTTGCCTGACACTCTTTAGACTGAAATGTCAGATTTACATCTACTTCTTGAATTCCAGCTCAAACTGCAAGTGGCCTACTTTTACACAAGTATGTGGCTGAAATATTTCAGAGACACAAAAGTCAAGTGAAGTTTTCATTTTCCAACAAGAGAGCTAGGTATATTTCAAGAAATTCAAACACTAATTCCAGTGTGATCTTGGCACTATATGCAGCTGTGGAGACAGATATACATATATGTATATACGTAAAAAGGCTTCTAGGCACACAGAATCCAAAACTATACCACTGCTATAGCCATGCCATATCCATGCTATAAAATAAAAGTAGAGTGTATTTTGTAACTTGTTTGCCCTTAAAGGCTTAAATGTCCCTTCTACATTCTACTGATCACACACATTTTCATGAACAGTATCTGCTAACCATAACTTCATTAGTCATTATATGAAGTCGTTATTCCACAGTCTTCATAGACGGCAGCACACAACTATCTTAAGGGAAGGAAAGGAGTTTTAGAACTTTGCATTCATTCATTCAGTTTACTTGTGTACTGTAATACTAGTGTATATGTCTTCAGACAATGAAACAAGAACAAACAGCCACATGAAAATTATTAGCACACCTTAAACTCAAAATTTTAGCAGTTCTAAGAAAATGAGTGAATAACACCCTCTTGCCCTTGGTACCCGATGTTTTCCAGAGGGAGGTCACAATTCTGACTATGTTTGGATGAGGTGGATACATGCTCATAAGCCTTGAAGTGAGGCCTTCGGTTCTTTGTACGCAGAGCAGATAAAAGTCAATTGATTTTGCTATCACTCCACAGGCTGGATTATAAAACCATCAACTTCACATTATGATTCATGTTTTATTACGCATATCTTAGAAAAAGTATTCTGCAGCATGCATTCAGAACTGCAGGCAGATCATGTTCAATGATACTGGAGGCACAAACACAAAGCCTGTGCAATCCTCTGGAAATCAAATAATTAAATACCCACACGCTATCTTTTCCATATCTCCCAATTTCTACTCACTCTTCTTCTTCCGAGATGTTCGGAGTACGAAATACTTTTATTCTGATGGAGCAAGAAGTTTAAATACACACTGTTACATGAGAGGTCCAGGTTCATAAGGTGCACACTAAATTCAAGTACCAGCTCCCAGGCTGCCTTCAATTAGTTGAAAGGTCAGAACATGCAGCTCAGGGAGACCAGAACTCCGTTGGGGGAAGAAAAGGGGAGAAATTGCTGAAGGGATGTCACATGCCTCCACAAGAGGAGAAAGTGTGTAACATCTTTTATGTACGGCAATGACTCTTGCCTTATGAATGTAGGTGAAGACATAATTTGTAGAATAATAGGCACTCATATTACACGCTGCTTCAGATCTGTCATATTTCCAATCCATCAAGTTGATTAATGCTATAATAACTCCTCACAAACTTATCATTTGTGCACTAATGAAGTCAAATCCAGTTTATCCTTCGGCAACTGTAATCTTCTGGTCTTTAAATGTTCGTTTCCTGCTAACCGCGGCTACTGGGGCACGGGGTATATAAAGAGAAAATTAACAAATGTGATGTCAATTCAGTTTCAGAAGTTTTCAACGCAGAATCATATGTGTTAGATCCTATGCAAGAAACATTTTTGTCATTAGCTGCTCACAGGATGAAATAACTGCCTGGAAGTATGCCTTACAGGAATAGCTTCTCTACATATCTTAAGAATAACAAACTACTTGGTTCTTCCTTCTGCCTCCATAAGAGGAATGACTATTGTGTGGTTTTCAATGGGTCTGTCTCTCAGGCTTGCAGTCTTTAGTAAAAGCTGTTTTCTCACCCTACTGAAACTTTTCCCATGCTTAACAAATTCAAATATTTAGTCTTTCATGTGGATTGTCTGCTGTTTGATCAGGACAAGCAAACCTCATACTATTGTCTTTCCCTACTTCTCCTCTACCCCACTGCTTGTTTTTATGCCAGTTATAGGAAACAATCATCTGCAGGATCAGTCCTCCCTGTTAAATTTGCCTGAAATAAGCTTCAGCTCAAAAGTTAAATTAAAAGGAGATGGACACAGAAATCATCACTGCATAAGCCTTGTTATCCTAGGTGCTGAGAAATTGGCAGATGCAGCATCACAACAACTGGAGAAGTCAAATGGTAAGTAGACCACCTACGTAACATCTCTGGTTTTGTGGATAACTAAAAATGCATGGAAATCTAACTAAGCTCAACATGTTTGTTAGTCAAAGTATTTTAAAATTCAGCATAGAAAATGCAGATTTCAAAGTATTAACAGGGTTCTTAGCTGTCAAATTAAACTTTTAGAAGAAAATTCTGTGAACTGGTGTGTTGCATGTTCCCAGTGGAGTTTTAATTACTCAGGTTTGTAACTATCTATTAAAACAGATTCCTAGGCTACTCACGTGTCACATCAAAGAATGACTTAGAAAATACACCATTTCTACTCTCAGAAAAAACCTTCCAAAACATAGCATGAGTCATGACAGTCATGTCAAATTCTTTGCCACTAAAAATATGTTGCTTTAAGCGCAATTTTCAGATTTGGTGGTGAAATGTTTTACTTGAGCAACACTAAGGCCAGATACACATACAGCATTTTCGTTTAGCATTCATATAGCATTTTGATTTCAACATTTCCAGATGTTTCAGGTTGTCATTTCAATAATGAGACTTTATCCACTCAAATACTTTTGGGACAGCAAGAGAAAAGAATGCACATATGCTATAAGAAGAAATACTTAAGATCACTGGACCCCACTATCAGCAAGGGATCAGCAGCAGCTCACCTGAGGCCTATGCACATCTCAGCTCCAACTAATGCTCTCAAAACAGGACATACTATACTTGCACAATGGTGAATTTTAATTCAAAGAATGAGAGGCTGCCATAACATTCCCCCAGTGGAATCTATGCAACAGAAAGTACCATGTTCCCAAGACACTCTACAGTGCCTCAGCCCCACCAATTCCTTGTCCAGGCTGCTCAGACTCTCTTTATGAGTGTAAAAAATTCAGTTTCAACTCCTACACTCCGAATAACTGGGAAACTATTCCTTCTGTGTCAGTGCTGCCTGGATGGATGGGAGAAACAGACGTTTCTATCCACCTTCCCCAAGCAGCTTCACAATGATGAAAGAGATGTAATGAAATAGATGGTTTACAGTTATGCCATTAATCCTTACTTGTTAAGCCTTTACTTAAAAAAAAAAAATATTACTCTGACTGTGAAAATGATAAGACACTGAATACTTTGCATGTTAAATTGTGGAATATGCTAACCAACAATTTTGCCATTTCAGCAGTCTAGTATGAACATCCAGTTTCAAACACTAGGGCATGCAGTGTGGTTTGCCCTGTTTGTCTGCCACACGTTTAGCACACTTGTCAAGCTGCCCAGACCTCTGGGTCTGGGCACCACAATGTTCCCTCCTGCACAGAAAATGAAGTTATCAACAGGTTGAAAGTTTTTGTAGAAAAACAGTCAACTTGCAATCAGGTGGTTTCCAGCAATACCACAGAAATTTGGTGGGGCAAGAACATTTTTGGAAGGCAATGCAGACAGAAATGATTTTCTGCTGTAAAACTTGTCTATGCCTAATAAGAGGCTAAAGAATTAACACTGAATGCTACTATCCTGTTGATTATTTCTCAAGTACTGAGACTATACAGCAAGAAGTAAACCAAGACAATTTCTGCTCCAAATCTCCTATAAACAAAATTTACTAAATTCTCAGTATGCCAGCAGTTTATCCTTTGAAATCTTCTTTCTGCTTCTGTAAATATAGTACTCTGTGAAGTAACAACCTTTTCCATGCAGCTCACCATGTACTGTTGTGTAGGTGAGGCTAGG